AGATGGTCAAGAGGAATTCGTCGTTGTTGTCTTCCGGTGGAACCGACCTTCGAATCTCGTCACCCAACACTTCCACTCGAAATGGAAGTAAGCTCAACACTTATGAAACAAGAGATTCCTCGAAACTCAACTTTGCTTCGAGTGAGATTGTTTGGTGAAAGGATTCGAAAGTCGATCCCACCAGAAGACGATGTCGGATCCCCCTGGGCTTTGCTGGAAAATACCTGCTAAGGATGCCCTTGAGACAATCGCATTCGATTCCGGTGAAAGCATGCTAGGCCTTCCTGCGTCATACGAACGAGCCCATCAGAGAAGAGTATCATTCCTACAGCCATATTCAAGCTAGCGAGTCAACAAAAACACGTGGTGGGATTGACATTCAAATATTTTCATCACAGAAGTGAGCTCAACAAGTATGAACAAAGATACGCCTCGAAACCCAAATTTACCTCACACTCAACGTCGTCGTCAGCATCATCCTCCCTCTCACTTTCGTTCTCCAATATCTGCTTATCCTTTGCGTCGTCAGCCTCCTCCTTCTCTTGTTACTTTTTACTCCCCCTCCTCTTCCTCATTACTCCCACTCTACCCTCCCCGACAATCACAGTCGTCGTCAGCACCTTTTTCCTCACCTGCACCCTGTACATCTACTTCTCAATTTTCTTTCCCCACTTCATCACCTGGTTCTACCATTTCCAAAATGAACAATGCTTCACTCGCCTTTTAGACACTTGTAGACCACTTGTGCCATGCGACAGACGTATATTCGTGTAAACTTTGAGTATGAAGGCCTGGCCCGTGTGTCTAGAGGCGGAGTCCAGTTCCGTGAATGACTTGTCTGGATCGATGGACGGTTGAGAATATGAGGAATTATAAGATAAATAGGAGGAGGAGGAGGAGGAGTAGGAGGAGTAGGAGTAGGAGGAGGAAGAGGAGGAGCGAATGAGAGAGAGAGAGAGAGAGAGAGGGAGTGAAGACCAAGGCAGAAAAAGCCTGCTGATAAATGATAGACAATTTCGCTAATAGGTATTGCATAAGACAGACAGACCTGGCTGGATAGAACAAAGGGAATAATGAACTTCATGATTCCTGTCTATAAGGCGAGACAAACGGGTCTCGTGCAAAAGGATATGGCTAGCTTTGTTAAGAGAAGCAGATATTTCTGTACACGGGCGTGTTCTCGTGTCCTTGCCTGCGTGTTCACGGGCTTGTTGGCATGCCGCAACTGTTTGGGTAAGGGGTAGGGCGACAGTCTGGCCTTGATGGGCGCATAAGTGGACTGTAAACGTGGGAGGAAGAGGGAAGCTGTAAAAGACAGGGTGGATGAAGAAGATAAGACTGAATGCGCGGAGCGAGATTGTTGCATTATTTGAAGAATGTGGAAATGAGCGAGAAAGCGAGCATTTGGCGTGAACAGTAGGCGAGCAGATGGAAAAAGCATTGCACTCTCCGGCAACGGTCTGTCTTGTGGCATGGATCTGTTTGCGAATGCGAGGAAACATGGCAACAAGTATGATGGAATGGAAGTCGCGACGACGAGGTGAAGTGTTTTGCTGGGGTCGTTCAAGTAGAGGGGACATGATTAAGGATTATGAATAGGTCGGGGGAGCCTGACTGTTGAGCTATAACTGATTAATTCAAGAGATTGTCAGGGGCAGAGAACACAAGGCCAAACTGTAGATGGCTTGTTTTCCGAAGGGATAATGGAGAATAAAAAACATGTAATACTCCGGTTCAGGTTACTTATTATTTTTCGCCTGCCTGCTCCACTCACTCGGTCCGTAGACTCGACAGGATTGTGGATGTCCAAACTCGAAGAAAAAATTGTTTGGAAGGAATCCGCAAAGTTCACCGTCCTGCAAAGAGATTTCAGTTTGTGCCATGTTTTGGGCAAATCGGTTGTCAAGGTAGGCTACCTTCAATGTGGTGAGTTCGAGGCAACCGCACAGAGAGCCCTGATGCTTTACTTTGAGCAGGAAATGAGCCACCTAAAGATGCATCCTCTTCATGTGTGACATGCAGATGGGGCTGCAGTTTTAACCCCTTCACCCATCTTCCTGTCACCGGCACCCCAAGCGGGCTTCGAACTGTGGGGCTACGATTTTGTGGCGAATGTGTTTGTTAGACCGCACGGGAAAGGGATAATCGAAAGCAATCCGATTCTTGGTGTCCACAACCAAAACAAATACTATATTCTATTGGACCGAGAAAGGAGGCGTCGACGCAAATGTACGTCCATTCTTTGGACGGTTGACAAGATCCACACTGCTTTGTGCATTTAGGCATTGGCGATGGTCTCTTCATTCATTTATGATCGTCTATTCGTGGTTTGGGGAAGATTTTCAGTGCTGCAAAAACAAGTACAGGCAGGTCGAGGTTAATACAAGTCGGAATGGGAGAAAATTCGAGTTAGAACGAGTTACAAGTTGACATCAGGCTGCATGCAATATGAGCTTAGCTTCTGTTTGTCGCGTTCATTATTGTACAAGGCGACGTAGTAGGCGCTGAAGAATTTGTTGATGCTTGTTACGCCATCCACCTCTGCATAGACAGTAAAGGACATTAAAAATTATATAACATCCCATTAGTAAATATGGCCAAATGGAAAAATGCTTGTAGGTGAACAAGTGGTGAATTGTGATTAACTCTGGATAGAAATTGTATTTAATCAAAAGATACCAATTCTAAAAATGGCAGAGGTTTTTTAATGTATGGATCAACGTTGGGGAATATGTTCTAGCAGGCAGATAAAATAAAAGAAGCAGTTAAAGCGGATTCAATTTTAAGACTACTTCTATGTACATAATTATTACAACTGTAGT